CCCCCCCGGCCCCCATGGCCTCAGAATTTTGGGCTCACTTGCGAAATTGAACCTTCTATAGGTAAAGATGATATCCTGAAAGTTTCATGCTTTCCTCCAGAAATGCACGATTCTGGGAACTTTTTCCCCTTATCCGCCCTACTAATACTCCTTATGTACTTCTCCCAAGTTTCACCTTGATTATTCTGTGACCTTGTGCTGAGTTAAATATTAAACAAACGCAGATCCCTCTTAGATCAAATATTCAATTTTATTGAAAAAAAAAACCGAGTCGGTATTACTCAGTCTACAGAAAAGGTTTGCTTCTTTAAAGAATTATTCAATCGTTTGCTTCTATTTTTTCATCTTTGAATATTCCAGAAATATGCTGAAGTCTCTCACCAACATTAACACTAAAGCCCCTTATCATACGATCAAAGTACCTAGAGCTGTCAAGATGACGTCCTGTCAGGTCACGTGACGTCACTTTGATAGCTCTACTTCGATCGTATGATACAGGCTTCAAATGCCCAGCTCAGACCACATTTTTCATGTTTACCGACTTACACAAAAAAATTACACTTTCATGGGGTAAGTGATATGAGCCTCTATCACTTAAAAAGCTGAATGTGATGTGCCAATAAATGGTGATAGATAAATGCATCAATAGATTTCCTTTCAGCATGCGGTTGAAGTCAAGCTTCTGGTTTCAAAAGCTCCTTGGCTGTATAAAAATCACCCATCACTCAATTATGAATATTACCTTACTGGTTTGGACAAGATCCTATCAAGAATAGGCTTTTTATGCCGTAAATTGAATGTATATACTCCATTACTCTCCCACAGGAGACACTCAGGATGCATGACGATCAATAACAATGTGTTTATCACATGGGAAAAGATATTAGACACAAGGAGGGTAGGTATATGTACCTGTAAAAGATTACTCTTCCACTGTAATTACAAACATTAAATGGTTTCAGTACTTGGCACTTTCATGCGAGTGATCCAGGAAGTTATTCAAGATCAATCCACACACGTCAGTCATACCCGAGGACGAGTTTTAGAACGCACTCTACTGCGCAGTGACGTAGTAGTGAGTGCCTGCAATGTATTTCTCATGGGAGCACCCATTGTGACGTAGCATTGAGTGCTGCGAGTTAGGGCCGGGCGGGGGAGTGGATTTCAAAAAAGCTGCGCAGCGACTGACCTGTGTGGATTGGTTTTGAAGTTATTCAAGTTTTGAGGAGAGACCTTTACTTGCGTACAAAAGAAAGTATTGATCTCATTAAATAATCATCAAATAGAATCCAGAGGAGGGAGAGAATGGCATCTCGTGTAAAGGATCAAACACGCTCTTCATGGGGAACCGAGCTCTGTTCGATTACCGATTATTTTATTGCGTTAAGCTCTTCTATGGATATTGATCGAGTCATCATTGCCCTTAAGAAAAGGCCCACTGAGAACAGGGAAAATTACAGCGTGTTCAGGCACCTGGTGCACAGTAGCCCTAGCCACTACCGCACCAAGCGACAGTCTCAACTCGGATTCCTCACGCATCTTCGCTTCAGCGTTCAAAATAGTTTCTCTCTCTTTCCCTCTCTCATCCTATCCCTGGATGGGAACAGGAAAATCAGAGAAAAGCAGGGACAGTCAAAAATAAGGGAGTGGGAACAAGATTGACAGTGTAGGCAGGAGCAGATAGGAGAACACAGTAGGTGCTACGATTTTCCTTGTTCTCAAATGCCCAAAGAGGAAAGAAACTTTTTCACCCATTAGTGCCGAATGGTCAAAACGTCGGTCACAGATTGCGTAAAGACGGTACTTTGTGGACAGTTGGCGCAATGAATTTCAATCAGCATCCATGACGAGTCAAATGTAGAGAAAAGTTGCAAATTGAACAGGGCACATTTTCCAATGAAGAGTGTGCCAGGTCCTTTGAGGAAGATTCAGCACTTGGATATGCGTCTCCCAGTTGCTTTATTCAGCCCCGCTATGGAAGATAACGAACACAGTGTTTGTAAAGAATTGGCTTCCAGAAAAAAATGAGAGTCATGGAAAACATAGCATCTTAAGTACAGACCCATGTTCATCCTCATTTGCCCCACATACATTCCTCAATTTGTAAGAAAATTTTGGGATGATGATCTTTCTTTCAACATGCGTAAATATATAATACGAAAAACAACAGACCTATTATTAATAATCCGTACACACTGTCAGCTGTCTGCCTTGTAGAGAAAATACAGGAGGTAGTGGCAAGGCAGCCATCTTGAAAATTTGCTGTGACGTAGAAAAGTATACGGAATCGCGCGGATGTTTACTCTTGAGAAGGAAAGAGGCATGAAAAGTTGCAGAATCCCCAGCAACCATCCGCATCGGTCACCGGTCAACGATGCATCTTCTTTTCAACAACAATAAGGCTACCCTTATATACTACTTATTTCCGACCCCGATACAACCGCCCAGATGGCTCAGTGGGTAGAACATTCGCCTAACACCGTGAAGATGCCGAGTTCGATTCCCGGCACCGGATATTTTTTTTTTTTTCCAATCTGTAAAATCCCCCAATCATGATTCTTCGTCCAAATAAGTCACAAAACTCATTTTTACAACAATTAATTTAATATTGAAAATAGTTAGCTCAATCAGTGACTTTTACTGACTTAGCGGTTAGGTCAAAACTCATTTTTACAACAATTAATTTAATATTGAAAATAGTTAGCTAAATCA